TTGTAGTCAAGAAAGTAAAGAGCAATACGTTTTATTTTGAATGTGTATTTAGGTGCTTCTTGGTCTGATTTATCTTTCCTTTGGTGGCTAAGACAGGACCAACTTGTAAGGGTACTTTTTTAATTATCTGAAGATCTAAAATATGTTTACTTGCAAATTTTAAAACATTGCTTGCTGTCCTTCTCTTCCTGGATACATTAAACTTGTTCTTGCCTTAAGCTTTTGTAGCAGCAGTTCTTTCTATCTGCGATGCATTTTCCCACAGGTTTGCATACGTGCCTCTGCCTTTTCAGTCAGTTCTCAACTGTCAGCTCCTCGGAGAGAGGCCTTTCCTGACCACGCTATCGAAAGTCAGCCCCACCCCACCCACAGATCACCCTGCTTTTGCTTCATCATAGCACGTATCCCAACCTGCTATTCTATTCATGCTTTATTTCTTTGTTTAGTGAAAGCCCTCTTCCACTGAACTATAATTTCCACTCAAACAAGGATTTTGTTTGATTTGATCAGCGTTTTATTGTCAGTGCTAAAACAATTCCTGGAAGAAAAACTAAGCATTCAATAAATATTTTTGAATAAACAAATAATTAAATCATTTGACTAAATAATTAACACTTTGGAAATTGCACTTAACAGCTTTTAGGAGACTAGCCCAGTTTTGCCTTCTTTTTTTTTTTTTCCTTTTGCCACATTCACTGTATTCCCCCTTAGGTTCTCCTTTCACCAATGGGCAGTCACTGTTTTCATTCCACCAGGCCCCCAAAGTAGCCACACAGGCAGATGGAGAAGCAACACCATCAATCAGTGTGAGGCGTGCACTATTCTCTTGATTTGAAAAGGCCAGCACTGTCATTTAAACATCATCCAATCTCTGCATCTTACAAAGTTGGACTTCCACAGAAAGCAAAGAGGCAATTGCTATGGATTGTACGGTGCATATTGGCAGGGTAGATGTCATTAAGATTCACTTCCTTGCTTCTCCAGTTCAATTGCTTCTGTGAAAGGCAGTGGATTTCTCTTGTCTTCTTCAATTTAGATTTATTGAATTTCTGAATCTCAGCCATATCTTGTTTGTCAGATATTTTGGCAGATTAAGCAGTAACGGGGTACATAGAAGAAAGTCAGATTCCACAGTAGCTACTGTGCCCCTCTTTCTGACATCCCCATTGCTCATTTCAGCCTCTTCTGTTATTGCACTATCCTTATTCTCCTTGTACCCTAAGCATTTCCTCCCTGCCCTTCCCTAACTGCACCTGTCCTCAAGGTTCAGCTTTCTGCAGTTCTCCCACAGGGAGATTCTGGAGCTCATTTTCTACCACTGAGCTTACAGTTCTATTTATCCAGCTCTCAACTTCACCCAAGGTCTATCTCCGGTGGCTTGTGGACATTTGCATTGGAGGTTCAGCCTTTAATGCAACATATCTAATACCTAATCTAGCACCTGCTCTCCAAAGCAGAAACTCCTTTCATTTTTCTGCTTCTGCTAATGTGTCCACATATATTTTAAGAATAACAACTCTGAAATCATTTTGCCTCCACTATCAGTGTACCCTTCACAATCAGTTATCATGAAACCATATACATATTTTATTAGCTGACCCTTCTTTACCATTCCCTTCACTCACACACTACCATAGATTGACAGCACAACAGCCCAGGATCACTACACAGCCTTCTAATTCAGGGTTTCGCAAAGTGTGGTCCAGCCACCCATGCAAAAGAATCATTTGAGGAGCTTGTTAAAATATAGATTCCTCAAAACGATCTGAGCTCTCACTGTAGAATTAGAATTTCTGAGTGTGGGGCCCAGAATTCTGCATTTTTCTGCATTGGGATACACCTCTGTGTAAGGACCACCACTTGATATCTAATACACTCACATGCACTGGAGAGTATAAATTGGACCTTAAGGATCAGAATGCCCTCATCTTATAGAAAAGTAAACTAAGGGAAGTTTTCAGAATGCCCTCATCTTATAGAAAATAAACCAGGGAAGTTTTCAGCTATGAGTCACAGTAGGTAAGTGCAAAGCTTGGACTAGATCTCAAGCTTTGTGATTTTCAATCCATGCCTGACTAATAGCCTTTTAAAGGCCTGTGTCAGGGCGCCTGGGTGGCTCAGTCACTTAAGCGTCCGATTCTTGATTTCGGCTCAGGTTATGATCTCAGGGTTGTGAGATCGAACCTGGTGTCAGGCTCAGCGCTCAGCGTGGAGCAGAGTCTGCTTGAGATCCTCCCCATCTGCCCATCCTCCTACTCTCTCTCTCTCTCTCAAATAAATAAATAATTTTTTTTTTTTTTTTTAAAGAAAGGCCTGCATGTAAGGTTGGCCTTTGGATGGCATCTGGGAACTTTGATTTGGGGAGGGTTTCCAGGACTGATAAGAGTGGCTCACTGTGCCTAAATTTTTTTTCTTATAAACAGTATGGTTTAAAGTGAACACCAGCTTTCCTTCTGAGAGTCAGGATTTGGGTATATGTCAAACAGAGGATGCTATGTGATCAGCCCCCAATAAAAACCCTGGGTACTGAGTCTCTAAGGAGCTTCCCTGGTTGGTAACATTTCACAGGTGTTGTCACAACTCATTACTAAGGGAATTAAACATGTCCTGAGTGACTCCACTGGGAAAGGACTCTTAGAATCTTGCACCTGGTTTCCCTTGAACTTTGCTACATGTGCATTTTCCCTTCATTGATTGTGCTTATACTTCCACTGTAATAAATCATAGCTGTGAGTATTACGACTATATGCTGAGTCCATGAATCCTCCTAGTGAATCATCAAACATGGGGGTGGTCTTGGGGACTTCATGACATGCAAGCCAATGCTTTCCATAATGTATTTCACTGCCCCTCTTGTGGGCTGTATATAAGAGGTAGTAGGGGTAGTCAAAACAGCATCGCCTTAAAAAAAAAAAAAGAAAAAGAAAAAAGCATGATCTAAATGCTGATTTAGCTGCTAAGCTCCATTTCTTTTCTGAGTCGTGGTTTTGTCGTCTATAGAGCTGGGCCAATAATATATAATTTTTAAGGTTTTTACAAAGATTTAGAGATAATAGTATAAGAAACCCATCCTTTAGGGAGGAGCTATTATTTTTATTCAGAGTCTTTTGGATAAGATGGAACGATCAGAATGAATTCTATGGATCCACTTTTATGTATCCATATATCTATGTAGCAATGGAACTAATTATATAGACTAAAAGGTTCCAATTATGTTAGAACTTGTGAGCAGATTGTTTTTCTCAGGTTCTGTGTAGAGCTCCTCTAACTAAGGACTTGAAGTGGGAATTGTGTGGACAGCAAGCACAGCAAAGAACACGTTTATACTCATTCTCAGCTTTCAACCCATGCTTGGTTATTTGTCTCTTGCTTTTGGGTCCCACTCCACTGATTTCTGGGTCCTGACCTCTTTCTGGCTGCCAATATGCACTCCTTAACTCTTTATTGGATGCTCAGCTATTCCTCCAACTTTATCCTTTTCCAACCACTACTTCACACAGGATTTATTCACCATCGTTCTCTTGGTTCTATATGGAGGATCCCTACTGAAACTTCTCTCCTGGATGTGCCCCTGGCTTCATCCCTTAACCAGCCTGTAATATTTGTATTTGAGTAAAGTATAGTTTACTTTTGTGGAAGCAGAATTAGTAGGCAAATGTAATCCCAGTCAGTGGCAGCATAGTTGGAAAAAAAAAACTCATTTATGTTTATTTATTCTTTTAGTTCCATGCATCCAGAAGATGAATGCCACACTTCTTAATACTAACATTGTCCATCTGAAATAATGTCACTAAAAGACTTAAAGATGAGTTATTTCAAATCTCTTTAGCAATTCAAATGGGGTAGATTCTTTAGTATATACTAGAGCAGGTACCATAAAAAGTAGTGTTGCGAGGAGTTACTGATGGCACATCATTTTCAGGAAAAAAAAGTCATTAGTCTTTGATATCAAGGGCGAAATATTTAAACAAAGACATTTGCTTTGTATTTCTCAACCAAACATGATATAATGGTGACAGCATTGCATGGGGAATCAGGGGGCCTATGTTTCAGTCTTTATAATATAATTGTTAAGAGGCTTTTCCTACTTCTACTTTCATCTGAGTAGGGGTGAGCTACTAGTACTTGCCAATAGAATGGGAGTGGATGTGATTGTGTCACTTCTCTGCTAAGATGAGTTTGAAGCAAGTATCCCATCTCCATCCTCTCTTCCCCTAGGTCCTGATGGGATGTTAACACCCAGAACAACCTTGGAGGCTCACGCTGAAAATGGTAGAGCCATTCTCATTCAGAGTCCCTGAAGGGCCACATGAATAATTAATCCTTCCCTCTTACCAATCAGGAATATCCACACTATGTTAGCCACTGACATTTTTATTTTATTTTATTTTATTATGTTATATTAATCACCATACAATACCTCACTAGTTTTTGATGTAGTGTTCCATGATTCATTGTTTGCGTATAACACCCAATGCTGACATTTTGAGATTTTATGTTATAGTAGCTAGTACATTCCTAATTAAGTTGTTTCACCTCGTTATGCCAATCTATTTGGGTTGTTATAGGATTAAGTGAGTTAGAACAATGCCTAACAAATAATAAATGCTCAATAAATGTTAGCTGTTAATAGTATTACCTGCTCTGGGATGCTAACTAAGTTATGAATCATTGACCATGTCAGTTTCCCTGGACATCTATTTCTTCAACTGTCAAATATGAGTTACACTTGACGCTTTCTAGGTTTCCCTAAGTTTGAAATTTTATAATCAGAAACCTCTTCAAATTGCTAAGAAAAAAATTATCTTAACAGATAGAAAGTGACCAGAGGATGAGGGGAGAAGCATTCAGAACATCAGGTAAAGAGAGAAAGGAGGAAACAGAACAGTACAAAGGATGCTGAGAGGGAGAAAAAAAAAAAACCTTATTTAAAGAGAAGCATATTTTCTTTTTGAAATTCATCACTTCTGAAATAAGCTTTGAAGAGAAGATTTACAAACCGGGCTGTGTCCGTGAGACTTTCATTCACACCCAAATGAATATCTTGTGTGGTAAGAAAACAAGGGTGTCCTCCCAGAAGTGCAAAGCCTACAATAAAAGAAAAAGGGAAAAAATAGCACTTTGAAAAAAAAGAACTAAAGTAGAAAACAAAATTATGAGGAATTGACACCATCTCAACTGAGAAGTCAAACTCTTTAAAGCTCTGTAACATCTCTGCTAGGGAATTCCCAGGCAAAGCAAAATGAGGAACTGAGAGAGGTAGATGAAATTTTCTGTACACCCAACTCTCCTTCAGGTGTGTGTCCATTTCTCCACCCTATTGTTCAGAACCTGGCAATAATGGGGCATTGTTTCCTTTTGGAGGCCATGCCTGGTTTTGGTTCTTTAAAATATATGATGATATTCATCGTGAATTACAGTGGAATACTAATCAGTAATAAAGAGGAATGAGCTACTAATATATACAACATGGATGAATCTCCCAAACATTATGCTAGATGAAAGAAGCTACATACAAAAGAGTAGATAATGTATAATTCCATTTATATGAAGTTCTGGAACAGGCAAAACTACCAGAGAGTGGCGGAAATTAAAAGAGCAGTTGCTTCTGGAGAGGGTGGGTACCTGGGAAGGAACACTGGTGAACTTCCTAGGGTAATGGGAATGTTTTATACCTTGACAGAGTTTGTAGGCCAAAAAAAAGGAAAATAAAGTAAGTAGTTCCTTCTGAAATGGAATGAAATAATTATATTCTACCTATCTTATACAGTTTAAGAGTGTTCTCTTAAATATGCCCAGAGCAAATGGTTTTTAGCTAGAGGGTACTATGTTCTGACTCTAGCAATGACTATTCACAGAGCACTACCATGTGCTGGCACTTTATAAACATTCTTCCATTGAAACCTTGACTCTAACAAAAACACAGTAGATATTACTATATAAGAATTTTATAAGTCAAACAGAGAAAGACATGTATCATATGACCTCACTGATATAAGGAATTCTTAATCTCAGGAAACAAACTGAAGGTTGCTGGTGTGGTGGGGGGTGGGAGGGATGGGGTGGCTGGGTGATGGACATTGGGGAGGATATGTGCTATGGTGAGCACTATGAATTGTGTAAGACTGATGAATCACAGATCTGTACCTCTGAAACAAATAATACATTATATGTTAAAAAAAAAAAAAGAAGATAGTAGGAAGGGAAAAATGAAGGGGGGGAATCGGAGGGGAAGACGAACCATGAGAGACTATGGACTCTGAGAAACAAACTGAGGGTTCTAGAGGGGAGGGGGGTGGGGGGATGGGTTAGCCTGGTGATGGGTGTTAAAGAGGGCACGTACTGAATGGAGCACTGGGTGTTATACACAGACAATGAATCATGGAACACTACATCAGAAACTAATGGTGTAATGTATGGTGGTTAACATAACATAATAAAATAAAATTTAAAAAAAGAATTTTATAGACAAAGGTTCTGAGAGTCAAGAGTTTAAAACCTTGTTCAAGATTGTTTTTAAGAACTTACAGCCCTAGGGCTTGCCACAGGGGAGCCAGCCTCTGAGCCAACTTCCATTGGAATTTGCAAAGACAGGAAAATATAATGAAATTGTACTCAGTCATTTTCATCTGGAAAATCAAACAATTTGCCTAGAGCCCTGAGATCCCTCACAGATGTGATGTGCTACGTCCCAGGTAGAGTCAGAGAACATGAAACACACTAACGATTCTACTTGCAATGGGTCCTGTAGTAAAGAGTCTGACTCCATTTATGATGTTTCACTGCTACCAGTTTTCAAGCCAACCATCACACTCCCTTATCCTTCTGCCCTATATCTGGGCAAGCTGGTAAGAAAGTGCACATGCTCCCTCCCTTGGCACTAGCAGGAGGTTCAAACTAAACAAGGCCTGCCCTGTGCATGGGAAGCTTCACCCCAGCCTCACCTCCTACCCACACGAAAAGCCCAGGCCAGTATCATTTCTCCACTCTCTAATGCCACTTTGAGACCAGCGTGGGAGAGAGTCCTACCCTACCCAGGAAGCCACATTATGTGAGTAACAAACTTTTTCATGCTCTCCTGGTGCGTGTGTGGCATCCTCACTGTCAACAGTCAAACCAAATTTTGGTGGAAGGCACATTTCGTCTCTGTGGAGTGATCACAATAGGCCCTGGCATCACAGCATAGTTCTGAAATTTATTCATTCATTCTAAAAGAATGTGCCTGGTGATATTCTAGGCATTGGGGAGAGCATTATAAACAACAGAGTACAAGTCCCTGCTTACCCAGAACTTACATTCCAATGGGGAGAGCCAAATAATAAACTGAATGAGTAAATTAAATATGTTGTATGGTAGACGTTGGTAAGTGCCATAAGAAAAATAGAGCAGGGAGGGGAGATAGGGAATGTAGGGAATATGAGTTGTAATTTGAATGTGGTCAAAGAAGCCACACTGAAACATACCAGACAGTGGAAAGAGCATGTCCTGAGGTCCTTAGAAAGGAGCATGACTGGTGGGTTCAAGGCACAAGAAAATTGGTAGGGAAGGTACAGAGTGTGTGAGGAGGAGAGTAGTAGGAGGTGAGGTTGCAGAAGGAAGGTAGAAAGGAAACAACAACTTTGACTTTTGTCTGAGTAAGATAGAAAGCCATTGGAGGATTAGAGCACAAGACTCACATGATGGACTTATGTTTTAATATAACATCTGTGGTGGGGCAAGGGCAGAAGCAGGGAGACCAGTCCCTAGACCCGTTTGCAAAACTCTGGGTGACAGTTGATAGCTTGGACCAGGATGGTAGCAGCTGAAATGATGAGAAAGTGATTGGATTCTTGATATATTTTGGAAGTAGAGCCAGCACTCAGCAGATGACCTTGCTTCATGTGTCACTATAAAATGGTAGCAATCAGAGAACTTCCAGATTCCACCACCCATTTCCCCACCTGCCAGCATCTGTACCTATATATTCTGCTTTCCTTCCTATTAAGCATAGATGATCTTTTCATGCCCTATGTATGTACTAGAAGCCATGCTTCCTTGCATACTCAAGAACATTGCTCTAGCAATTCTTTCCTTTCTCCCTTACATTACCTTCATCATGAATATGCTATTCTCATTTTTTCACTCATTAATAAAAAACAAATGCAAATTTCCTCTTGTCCCTCTTTCCCCTGCTATGTACCCCTTTAACTCTTTGCTCGCTTTGCAGCAAAATTGTTTTTTCTTTCTCTCTTCGGTGCCTCTTTTCTCATATCCCCATAACACTTTGCACGCACCTCCCCCCCACCCCCCACAACACTGCACCAAAACTCCTCTCGCCAGTTACCAATGATTCAGCTAATGGCCATTTCAGTTCTCAGTTTTCTTGAATTACCAGCATTTAACAAAGTTGTTCACCACCTTCTCCTTGATAAACTTTCTTCACACACTGCCCAGGATACCACACCTTCTTGCTTTTACATCTACCTTAGTAGTTGCTCCTTCTCAATCTCCATTGCTGGTTTCTTCTCTTTTCCTTGACCCCTTAATGTTGATATCCCCCAGGGCCAGTCCTTGGTCTTCTTCTCTCCATCTATACTTAATCCCTTTCTAATCGTATCCAGTCTCATAGCCTGAAATACCATCTATATGCTGATGACTCCCAAATATCTCTAGGGTAAATCTCACTGCCTTCTCAACATCTTTGCTCATGTATCTAACAGACGTCTTAAACTCAATACTTCCCAAACTGAACCCTTGATCTTCCCTTCTATCTTGCTCTAACTGGTCCATCCTGTTCACAGTTGCTCAGGCAGAAACCTTGAAGTCATCCTTAACATCTCTTCTCTTACCCAATACATCAGAAATCTTGATGGCTGTCCCTTCAAAACATATCCAGAATGTGTCCCTCTTACCCCTTCCACTGCTACCACTCTGGCCCTTGCCTCCATGTATTATAGCTACCTACTGATGGATTTCACTGATTCTGTCTTGTCTCAACCCCCAACCTCTGCAGTTTATTTTCAACAGAGCAGTCCAAGAGAGCCTTTTAAAATGCAAGTTAGAGGTGCCTGGGTGGCTCAGTCGGTTAAGCATCTGCCTTCTGCTCAGGTCATGATCCCAGGGTCCTAGGATCGAGCCCCGTGTTGGGCTCCCTGCTCAGTGGAGAGCCTGCTTCTCCCTCTCCCTTTGCCCCCCACCCCAGCTCGTGCTCTCTCTCTCTATCTCAAATAAATAAATAAAATCTTTAAAAAAGTAAAAAAAGTAAAAAATAAAATGCAAGTTAGATCATGTCCCTCTGTTCAAAACCTTCCAAAGATTCTTCATTTCACTCAGAGTAAAAGCCAAATCCAAATAATGGAGTACGTGTTTTGCCCTCAGTTCCAGGAACATTCTTCTCCTTGTTTCCAACATACTATATCATCCATCCACTTATTTATTATGTCTATTGTTTATTGTCTGTGTACCCACTAGAACATAAGCTCAACAAAGGCAGGAATTTTCCTCTCTTTTGTTCACTGATTTATCATTCTCAAGAACCTAGAATAAATACCGGTACATAGTAAGGACCCAACAAATACTTACTGAACAAATGTAGGAGGGATTTTGACTCTGGGGAGGGGACCCATTCTTTTCACTTGCAAACATCTCTTAATATTGTTAACAGAAAGAACAGAATTTTCTATTATGTGTGAAGTGAGCTGATGGAATTTAGTGATGATTATAATCACTAATCACTCTTGAGTATTTAATCCGTTTCTAAACAGGGAATATCACCTACACAAATGTGAATACTGCACATTCACCAAGAAAGGACTTACTGTGCACCTACTGTTTGCCTAGCACAGAAATGAATGTCATTGAGGGTTGGAAACTATGGAGGAAGGTTTCAAAGAGTTTAAGACCTCCTGGCAGGTCTGCTCCAAGTCATACTCTTACTTCGACTAGAAGTCATTTTGCTATAACAATGCAGGATTAGGTTGCTGCCTTTTCACTTTCCTCTTTGTTCTACAAGGAAGACTCACATCAAGCCTGGACTTATGAGGTAGGGGTAGGGAGAGGGGTTATAGAAAATGTTAAGAAGTAGGAGTCCAAGGGGCGCCTGGGTGCCTCAGTCGTTAAGCGTCTGCCTTCCACTCGGGTCATGATCCCGGGGTCCTGGGATCGAGCCCCTCATTGGGCTCCTTGCTCAGTGGGGAGCCTGCTTCTCCCTCTCCCACTCCCCCTGCTTGTGTTCCCTCTCTCGCTGTGTTTCTCTCTCTGTCAAATAAATAAATAAAATCTTAAAAAAAAAAAAAAAAGAAGTAAGAGTCCCAGCCTTCAGCAGTTCTCGAAGGAGATAAGATGGGGGGACCTTGCCTCTGAGAAGGAATTTCTTCTGTAATTGTGGTCACTTGTCAGAAAGAAGCCTCAGACCCCAGTTTAAAAGCACAGGTCAAGCATTTGCCAGCTTCTCAGACCTGGCTGGTGATCAGTGCTTCTGGAGAGTACCAGGGGTTCAGAGCCACCTCTTGGAGCTGCCATTGCTGAGGAGAGGAGGGCAGAGGGACAGGGCTCGCCTCTCTCTTCACCCTTCATCCAGAGAAGTCTGCTTTTATCTGTCATTTGTTTATGCATGCATGTTGGATATTTTTTGAACAAAGGGTTTATTCTGTTAATATCTTAGGTTCTGGCTGGGAAAATAAGTGTACATCTGATTTTTCTCTTTTCCTCACAGATCTGTGCAAGCTTTATTTCTATTTAAATAGAAGCCATGCACTGGAAATGTGAGGGCTCTGAGGGCTCTTGCTGGTAGAACTAAGGCAGTATGAGCCTCTCTGTGCTTCACTTTCATACCTGCAGTATAGCATCACGATTTTTTACATTGTCACCTTTGTAAAGATGATGCATTTGAAATAGCTTGGAAAGCACCAGCTTCTCTGTCACCTTGAGAGTGAAATACCAAAGTTAAATAATGAAAAGAACCATCTCTTAGGATGCCTTGTGCATTTTTTCTATCAGCTACAGCACTTACCAAGATTAATAAATGTATCCTTCTATCTGCTCACTTAATTTGCAATAAAAGAATATAATCATTGGTAGACACATAGAAGAATTGCAGTTTGCCTGGCAGGCATACACACAGAATGGGGGAGGAATGAATGATCTACAACTACCACAGCGACGTCGGTACATCTCACAAACATAATGCCGAGCAAAAGAAACCACACAGAAAGGAGCATATGCTGAATGATTCCATCACAGGCAAAACTAACCTGTGATGTTAGAAACCAGGATCATGGTTACCTTGGGTAGGGGAGTAGCAACTAGAAGGAGATACAAGGGAGGCTTCTGGGCACTCTTAATGTCCTGTTTCTCTTTCTGGGTATTAATTACGAAGATGTGTTTACTGTAAGAATTCATTGAACTATGTGAGCTTCAGGATTTGTGCACTTTTCTGTAGGCATGTTACACTTTAATAAAAATATTACATGAACAATTCAGATGGCTTAAGTTAAGTGGCGAATTTTATTCTGTCCCCTGAGATAAGTAGAAATACGGTTGTATCTCTGCAACTCAGGCTGGGGAAGGAATCCTCAAGGACTTTCCTATGAGGAGGCTGGCACAAGTCTGAGGCAATAATAGACAGTTTTAATTACATCCTACTTTCATTCTAAATACCAAGGTAACAGGTTTTGATGGAAAATTGTGCCAAAGGACAACAAATAAGATGCACATGCGCATTATAGAAATGCTCTGCTATGGGTTTGGTTGAGGTTTACTGTTTCTGTAAGCATTTAAAGCAACTACTTATTCTGACAGATTCTCCTCCTGTTGAGTTTGGCAGGATGCCATGTACAATTAGACTCATGGATATTTATTGAAGATAATGATGAATACTCTGTGAACCATAACTTTTTATAGTCAGATGTTGCTTTTCTCATGTATTTGTTGTTACAGTTTGCAATTTTGTGCCAGTTTTAGAGCGCTTCTAGATACAAAACCATCATCCAACAAACTGCTTAATGCCATCTGTAGAAACAATTTTACTGGAATAAAACATGACTATTACCTGTTCAAATTAAATTAGGTCCTTAAAAAATACATTTAATCATAGCTTACAATCCTAGGTCTGCCATTTATTAGCTATGTGTCTGTGGGCCATTTGCTGAACCCGTTTCAGCCTGTTTTCCTCAATTGTCTTGTCCTCATGGAATTTTCATAAGGATTAAATGAGATAATCCCTGTAATTAATGTAGAGCACTTGGCACAGGGTCTGCACCCGAAGGCTTATTAAGTCTTCACTCTTAGTTTTATTAATAGCTTAACTACCACATTATATGTGAATGGTAAAACTGATCCTTATTCAGGGATATTTGACATCAAAAATAGCATAGCATCTGAACAGAGAAAAGTTGCAGAAAACACCAACAACTAAGAAAAATTAATTTTAAAAACCTTAAAATTGAGAAATGTCTATGTATTAATCCATTCTTCTGATGACTTCAAAAAAGAACACCTCTCCTAAGTACTAATGATAAAATAAAATTCTGCCCAACTCATAGAAGGCTGGCGTTGAAAAGGAGCAGAATATGAGAATTACTGACTGGTTTATGCAATATTCATTTTCCTCAAATGTCAACATGATTTCTTAAAGGAGCCATCTTTAAAGAGCAAAATGTTCTCATCTGTTTTCTTCCTGAGACTTAAAGACTAGGTGACACCTTATATGGTTCCTCTCACCCTCCTTTCTTCTCTCCAGGGGCAAGGGGAGTGCATTAGTAAGAACAGTGAACTTGAGATCTGTATCCTGGTGCTATTTGTATTACCAAGTCACTTAATCCCTCTGAACTTTATTTTGTTATATATTTGATGAACCTCATTACTGATTATTACAAGGCAAGAACTGTGTAAAATAGTTGTTTGCTTCTAAACCCTAGAAAGCTCTTATGGGGCGCCTGGGTGGCTCAGTTTGTTAAGCGTCTGACTTGATTTCGACTCAGGTCATGATCTCAGGGTTGTGAGGTCGAGCCCCACGTTGGGTTCTGCCCTGGATATGGAACCTGCTTAAGATTCTCTCTCTGCCCCTCCTCTCTCTCTTTCCCTCTCTAAAATTAATTAATTAATTAATTAACTAACCCTAGAAAGCTCTGATGCTTGTAGATAGGATGAAATATTTGAAGAATCAACCAATGTGTTTTTGTTTGTGGTACCTCCTCTTTGATCCTATCCATTCGTCCATTTGGGCAGTCATGTTATTGATTCAAGGGAGATCTGACAGAGCAGAAAGGCAGAGAAAAAGAAAAGAGGTGATATGTGGTTTATGAGTTTCAAAATGGACTTTTTGAAACATAACAGAGATAATAGTTTGAGAAAAAAGAAATTTTGAGTTTCAATAGCTTACGATTCCAGGCACAAACAGTAGATTTGAAAGAAATCTTGGATAGTCAGAGCCAGTTTTTTCTTCCTGCTTCATCACCTAGCCTCCAATACTGGGACCTTAGAGCAGAAAAAGAGAAGCAAGAGAGAAGCAACAACAGAAATAGAAATTGATGGACCTTTGACACTGTGCCCTGCTGTCTGCCCCCCCAGGCCAACTACTGAGGGGTGGGAAGCATGATGGAAATTTCAGATGAGTCTGGGGAACCCCAGAGTTGATAACACCTGTGTCTCATTTTTAAGACAGAGCTCTAGGAGGCAACACATGTTATAGAACTCCCTGGCACTCAGCCTGAAGAAGGAAGGATAGAGAAAGCCTTGCACTATCTCTGTACCCAGTATGACATGGAGAGCTGCCAAGGGTTGAGAGAGTCAAACCAAGAAATATTTCAGGTCCTGTGATCCAAGTGAAGCAAACTCCAGTGAATGGGAGACAGGCAAGGTCCAATGGGGATATAGAAGTCCCAGTGGACTCCAGTGTGGATATCTGATGATGATGTCCTGACTACCAACGCTCAGATTCCCATAGCTCTAGACATCTCCTTCACGTACTCTCCAGGGCTTACCCATGACTGTGGGGAAAGGGAGAAGAGAGCCTACATTGACAAAGTAAGCCCTGAAATGACTGAGGATGCCAAACATTGCAGAGATTCGGTTTCCACCATCCTGCAAAATTGGAGCAAGCAAGAAAAAATTCTTTACCTATTAGGACACATTTCTTACCCACATGAGTTTGAAGGCTGAGAATTTGTGTCCACTCATATTTTGTACTGAACATGAAAAGCTCTTTGGGACTTGTAATCAATTCTTCATGGAATTCCTACAGATGACGCTAATCTTTCTGCTTACAGCTTCTTTGAGAATTGGAAAGAACACTCAGAGGCTCACACTGCTACTCCCAGTGACAGTGTTTTCCCTTTGTGCTTGCTAACAAGACAGACAAATTCCCCCACTGGGCAACTCCTCCCAAATCCTCACCCTCTGGCCCCCTCTTCAGCATAAGTGCGAGTTTGTCTGGGGACTCACCTGTTTCTGTGGACAGTCTTGTTCGAGTACTTCTTTTTTCAAAAATCATGCCTAAGGACTTCCCTTGTAATAAGGGCAAATACTGAAAATTAAGGACAAGAATACAATTAAAATGAAAAATATTTTATATCCAATATCAAAGATTATGTTTCAAAAGTTATTCTTTACATTACCAGAAGATGTAGAATAATTAATCACTGCTTCCAAATAAGCATTCAAAATATTACTTAAAAAGTGAATTTAAAGTGTTTGTTTTTTTTTTTTCATGTTCTATACAAGTGGAGGAAAGGAACAGGAAAACTCCTACAGCTTATTGACTTGTAATTAGAAAATATTAGTTGCTCGGGGTTCAACCTGAACACTTGTTCCAAAGTATCTTAATATTTCCAACTGGAGCCATCTTTTTACCTAAATCCATGGAAACCCATATCAATGCTCAATGACCTTGAAGATGCTTGGTTCAGAAGTGTTTTCTCAGCTAGAAACAATGCTACTCTGTCACAACATGGGGCATTAAGACTCCTAAAGATGAAGCCCCAACTACACTTTAATCATGCATCCTTGTGGGAGTGCAAAGGCTTTGTTTCTGGAAATCATTTGGAAATGATCTGGAGAGTTTGGGTGTGGGGTGGGGCTTTTCCTCCTTCCTCTTCTCGTAGATAGACTTCCCGATAGGATGAGTTCTGGAACAAATAGATTCCTGCCAGCTAACTTTCCTTACACACAAAGTATGAAGAATAGGCCTGGGGTAGTGGGGGACCTTTTCTCCTTATTTCAGGTCTTATATGGGAATGTCAACTCATAATAGTTGGAGACACTCCTGTTTTCTAAACTTGGAGAGCTAATGAACTAGATAAGAGAACCAAGGTTGTGTAAAACTTCCTCAACCTGAAACCAGCTCTTTAAAGTGCTTTTGAACCAGCTTGGAACACGAAAATGCTTTCACAATTAAGCAGCCTAAATGAAGCTGCTGCATTAATTGTGTTTCAAACATAAATTGCTCAAAATGCAGAATAATGCTTACCGCTAAGCACCATATCCCATCTCTTCTCCTACTTGGTTACCACTTAATTGTTTCTTTGCTAATCTAAATTATTTTTAACACTGTCACATCACTATGAATTTTTGGACATTATCCTAATGATCATATAGCTGATAGTTATTCACAACTGAAATTTTTTGCCAGGAAAAAAAGTATCATCCTTATTTTTAACTTGATAGAAAACGCACAGAGACAAGAATGAAGGTATAAAAATAAAATCTTTCCAGAGAAATGGTTCCTTAGGTTCTGATCCAATTAATAATGAATTTCAACATTCCACATGAAAGAAGTGCAATGACTTGTCACTGAATAACTGATTCTTATGCTTTTTATATGTCTGTACACTCAGTGATAATCAATTACCTTGACTGTGTGATTTCATTACTTAGCTACTGTTTAGGAATTTTAATATATTTTCTTTCCCCTCCTTCTTCGGAAAGGCTGTCTTTAAAAAGGCTGGTTGGTAGTATCAGAAAGTAAGATGAAAATGCTACATACCTCTCCTTTCTGTTTTATCCTAAATTTTAGATCTGCCGATAGCCATAACATATACTTAATTTCTTCTTCTGTAAAGTTCTTTAGAGTGAGGAGGTCACGACCCTTCAGCTGTACTTTATTTTGTAGTGGTTGTCCACATCTACAAAAAAGAACAAAGAAAAAGAAAGAGAAATATATATTTAAGACAAAAAAACCCATGACCTATGGTGATTCATTGTTTTATTCTTGAAACAAAACATAGCAAATCACATGGAGCCTCATGTGTCTCTGCAAAGTGCTAATGCATTAAAATTGATATGGCTTTGGTTTACATTTTAGATATCCAATATTTTGGATGTTGAGAGAAAAGAAACCTTTGAGGAAGGAGTTGAATTCTTATTTGCTGGGAATAGCCATTTGCTGGGCTTTGCCACTTACTAACTGTGCAACTTCAGACAAGTTACCTAATCTCTCTCTGCACCTAAATTTCTCCCTCACCTAGAAAATGAGTATAATAATCTTATAGGGTTGTGAGGATGAAATGATTTAATGCATGGAAATCAGACAATGCCTGGCATATAATAAGCATTCGATAAATTTTAGCTCTTTTATTGATTGGTTATATGATTGATTATACAAACAGAATTTACAATGTCCATACAATAGAAAACATTTTCATTCTTTTTACCCTACCGCCCTTCAAATCTATTCTGGGAGATTTGTTCTTTACTTGTCCCAAATACAATGGGCCTTGTGGCTTTTCTAGTAACTTTCAGAAAATAAAATTAAAAACAATCCTCTGTGCTTACTTTATTCCTCCCCTAAGAGTCTCAGTAAAATAATGTGTAATAATAATAATGACTTTTTTTAACTTTAAGAAATGTACTGCAAGTTAACACCCTTTTTCCTTCCAGCTCATGCCTAATTCAAGCTGGCCCCCTCTAGAGGGAAGAGGGACCTTGAGCTGTTTGCTCTATTTCCCTGCCTTTAGTCCCTCCAAGTAAAGCCTAGGGAAGGCGAGGAGTTAAGGGTCAGACAAAGTCTGGTTCTGTTCTGGTACTTGAGGCTCTCTCTCTTGTGGGGTGCTTTGGAGGGTCCTTCGGAGAACTCTGTCATCACTGGGAATTTCTCACAGTAGTCCTTGGTGGTGGACAATTACATTGCTCGTGCCATCTGAGGGAACGCATCCAGACTCCTTTTGCAGAGATCTCCCCAACCTCCAGAGGTCTCTTGGCCATCATGTGAAACAATACCATGCTCGGTCTCTTTCTCAGTCTGTATTGGTTCATGGGAAGCTCTTCGTGCTCTTTGCTGTGACAAGAGTCAGTTTCCTTCCAGTATAGACTCTCCTCTTGTTCTGCCATCAAAACAGCTAGGCAACCTGTCCTTCTTACTCTAGGTTTCCCAGGTATAGGCCTGGATTTGGTGTGTGGTGTCCTCAAGCTGTCCTATTAAAGATATCGATGCCCTTGGAGGTGAGGGGAGAGTACCTCTCCCTGTCATACACAGTGGTAACACTTTAAAAGTCCTCTTCTAATCTACAACCCATCTCTTAGTTTCTGCAGTCCATTTTAGAAGCTGGAAGTGGTCACCAGTGGGTTGCAAAACTAATTCTTATGTATCTCCTTTGTTCCTGTTTTAATGGCATAGCATCTCACTTTGGAATGAGGGAAGAGTAACACCTATTGGGCCTGAGCAGAAACTGGGATGGAAAGAGTCCCATTTTAACATTTGGTAACATTGTGATGACAATAATTATTATTTGGGGCAATCAGTATCTAAAATTGAAAATGTTTATTCTTTCATTTTCCCAGTGTTATCTCTATTTAACAATAATTATATTGTATACAATTAGAAATTATGAATAATGAAGGGCAAATTGTGGTTCACCACAGGCACTAAACATTAATCTTACTAGAAGTAAAACAACTGTCACAAAATGATCATGCTTGAATTTCAGCTTAACGAAAGAGCTTGGACTACTTGAGATGAAGAGTAAATTCTTTGGTGGGATTTATGTATGTCTTGCAATGATGACAAGAGGATAGGTAGGAAAATCACAAATTCACTCAATTTGTTGTTTCCAATGCATGATGTCAAATAACTTAGATAAAGGAATATTTCACTAAACATCCAACTTTCTGGCAGAGTTGATTGGTTCATTTAGTCTTTGATAGATGAATAGATTTTTTTCAGTTGACTTTTTGTGACGTTAAGCCCTTCAGAGATTCTAGGTAGTAAGGAAAGGAACTTCCATAAAGATCGAGGGTTTATGAGTTAGTTGGCTAATGGTTGACTGATTGATTTAATATAAGATACTAATGACAGGGGCGCCTGGGTGGCTCAGTTGGTTAAGTGGCTGCCTTCAACTCAGGTCATGATCTTGGGGTCCTGGGACCAAGCCCCTTGTCAGGCACCCTTCTCAGTGGGGAGTCTGCTTCTCCCTCTCCCTCCGACCCTCTCCCCTGCTCACACTCTCGCTTCCTCTCTCTCTCTCTCTCAAATGAATAAATAAAATATCTTTTAAGAAAAGATACTAATGATATTCAATTCCAATAGAAATTAGTGTTTTCAGCTAATATGTGGATCAAAATTTTGGTCAACGTAACTATTTCAAAGATGTACCATAGCCTTCAACTTTTATTTTTTTATTATTTTTAAATTTTTTATTTAAATTTTTATTGACATACAGTGCAATATTGGTTTTAGAAATAGAATTCAGTGATTCATCACTTACAACTTTTTTTTAAAGATTTTATTTATTTATTTGACAGAGAGAGAGAGAGAGAAAGCACAAGCAGAGGGAGTGGCAGGCAGAGGGAGAGGGAGAAGCAGACTCCCCGCTGAGCAGGGAGCCCGACATGGGGCTGGATCCCAGGACCCTGGGATCATGACCTGAGTCGAAGGCAGATGCCTAACCAACTGAGCTACCCAGGTGCACCCATCACTTACAACTTTTAAAAATATGTCATTCATCTACTCTCTAAATGGAAATTTCTTTAAAGCAATGGTCCACAATTTATTTTTATTACAGACCCCTAACATTAAAACATTTTGGACATGGATCTACAATGTATGTTTACTTATTTATATAATATATGTGTTACTACCCTAATAGACTGTGTACAAAACAGAACATTAGAAAATGTAAAAGTTTAGACTGAGAAGAACCAAATATTTAAAAAATAAATTTGTAAATATACAAAAATATCTTGCTGGCTAAACAAGTTTCTGGAATAGACCTTCATTTTCTTCCTTCCACTTGAACCCTAGTAAAAATCTTACAAAACTGTGTCCAAGATTTGGATAATACTATTCAGAAATTTGATAATTTAAAGATATGACATTTAGGCAGAAAATGTATTTTTACATATGTATTTTGGTTATGTGTTTGGTTCTGATAATGTTAATTAGTGATAACATTAAGCAACACTTGGAATAAACAAGTACTGATATTGTTGAGAAGTAAACCCTTAAACTGATATTCTTGCATTTCTTACAGTCAACTGAATTTGGGTATCTGTAAACAGGTTTAACATCTGAGTTGAAGTAGAGGCATGCAGCTTAAACTTTCCCAATTCACATTTAGGGCATCTTTGCAAAAAAAAATTTTTTTTTTCTGGAATAAGGTCCAAGTAAGATAAAATCACAGGGGATAAACTCTCTTGACTCTGTATCTCAAATAAAACATTAATATTCTATGGCTTAAGACTTCCTCCAGTATTATTTTTAAAAGGGAAAAAGCTTTGCTGGAAAACCCTGCTCCCCAGGATTTGAGAAATTTTTTTATTATGTTCAATTAGCCAACATATAATATTTGTGAAACATCACTATGGTTATTGAACTCCCATCGACAACAGGAGAAACCACTCATATGCTAATTTTGAGGAATTATTTTTTGCTGAGAGCTCAAGCTCATTCTCCTGGCAATTTTGGAGCCCAGAAAAGCTGAGTCATCAGGGCAACACTTAAGGGATTCAGTACCCTCCCAAACTCTCAGCCCTTGCAGGGTTGTGTTGTATCTACTTCCTTCTAAACACAGGACTACAAGTTTCATTCAAGAGAATAGCATAGATCTTGGAATTGTGGTGGTGGTGGTGGTGTTGAATCTCAGAGAAAAAGAAAGGATGCATGGAACTTAATTTTTCTCCCCCTTCCCATGAGAGAAAGCAGGAAAATAATGGTGAAAGAGGAGACCCAACATCATCTTCAGCTACTTCAAAAAAGCTCCAACTTCCAGCTCTTATAAGCAGGAGACAGATTGGGAGAAGTAAAAGGTCTCTGGGTGTTTCTCAGATTTGTCCTTATACTCCAAGAAGTTGGGATTAGGGTTGGGTTAATGTTGTGCTGTTGGGATTGCACTGTGAGATGATGTTCTTGTTATTTCTCCATTGACAGATTCAAGTTTAAAGATAAAAGGAAGATACAAACATTCTGCTTGAATCTTCCCATTTTATCCAGAACTTCCATTTTAAAATTTATATAGCAAGAGAAACCTTATTTCAAATTATTTCTTTCAGACCACAAGTAATCAGAAGAATACCTCCTTGTGACTCCAATCTCCATAGGGCAGTTACTGATAATATCGCCTTCACTCTTGCCCTGGGATTGCGCCTCTGATAAGTATTAGCAGATAAGCTTTTTCTTTTCTTTTCTCTTTTCTCTCTTTTTTTTTTTTTAAATACAGATCATTCTGGCTTTGCATGGTAGTGTGGGACTGTAAATGACCATTATATCTGCAACCGTGCAGAGCAACCTTAATAATAAGTTAGGAAAAAATCACAATTGTTCCGTGACTTTTAATTTTTTGTCAAGACATGAAACACTCTCATATTTCCAGTTATAAATGTGTAGGGAAATGAAAAAAAGAGTAAAACAAATATATTTATTACACTGTAATTTAAAACATTAGAAATATTGAGACTTAGAGTGTTTTATTTTTTGTAAAACTGTCAAGAGTAGTTTGAACCATGCATGCTGTCTTCTTATTATATAGCATATGTTACAGAGCAAACATCTTGTCTATGCTCTGGTGAATTGCCGTACTTTCTAAGTTTGGATCAACTTCCAACATTTTATCCTTTGCACTTTCAATATGTAAAATATCTCTGATAATTCCTTGAATGTCTAAGTGTTTTGCTGGTGTCACTTCCTCTGGAA